GGTGGTCACAGGCCTATTTAAACGTCAGCGCAAACATGATGTGGTTGCTAAGGTAGAACCGTTTTTATTTTTATACACTTCCTTTCAGTCAAAAATAGCATAGAGACTATGGCGTACATCAGACCACATCCACCCAGCAGACCTGCACAATAGCTGCTCTGCTCACAGGAGGAGGGGGCTTCCTGCAAACTTCGCCAATACATCGGAAAGTACTCATAAAATATGCAACATTGTTTGCCAAGTTTTTAAAGTCCAGGTTGCATGATTTTTGCCTTACTATTTGCTCCTGCACACACCCTCTTTCAGGATCTCTATCTCTGCATTCTGGTTTGTTGGGGAAAGGAGGAAGAGGAAGAGGAAGATTAATATCACAGACACATGCCTGATGACTTTTGTTTTGATAAATAATAATCATTAAGAGTTCTAAGGTATGAGATGTAGTGTCACATAAAGTTTGGCGCATGTAGTTTATTCTGCAACAAAATTAAATATCATCTGAATTATTATGGTGCCCATTGTGGAAATGATTTTTTAAAAAAAATTTAAAAAAAAGTATGGCAAGCAGTTTTGTATTTTAATGTCACCAGTGTTCTTTGTTGCAATTTAATTTTGACAAATAAAAAAAAATCATGAGCTTTACAACTGCATTTGTAAAAAGTCTATAAAAAGCTCTCTAATTGAGTTATCACTAGTAAAATCTCCAAATACAGAACTCTACCACAGCACTTTATTGCAAAAAATGCCATTGTAGAGCTTTTGAATTACACTACAGACACAAACATATACATTTTAGCAGTGAAAATAAACATTGTTAATCTCAATCATGACTTGATGACTTTTGACTAGTAAAAATGGCATCTTAAGTCATAATTTCTATTATAAAGCTCTGCGACCAAATTTTTACTCCTCGTCAAATGCAAAACAAACTGTTTACACATCTCTTTCTCTTTTCAAATCTTGCTGAAGGTAGACATTGTCATTTATGGATATTGGCATTTAGCCAACATATTCAACATTCCTCCATCCATCCATCCATCTTCCATGTAACACAAAATACTATAGTACAGTCCATACTGTGATCTGACTCCTGGAGATACAGAGAACTCTTTGAAATTCAGTGGTAATGTTCTGCAACTGCTTTAACTCATTCTTGGCCTCATCCACGGCCCACTTTCTCGCCTGGCTTATTATTAAAGCTCCAATTAATATTCATGAGATGCAATTACCATAATGAGTTGCTTGTGAATATAGATGCAATTCTGACTAGTACGAATTACTATCGCAGAAGTCTTTTAATTACATTTTTACTAGTAATAATTAATTTGATGATATCTATAATGCTATTCCAACCTTGTAAAGATCTTACAATTACTATTTTATTCTTACCAAATGTAATAATATTAGATCTGTAACTTTAAATTGATGAGTACGAATATAATTCTGACTAGCCAAAAATTAATGACTAGTTGTAATTACAGATTGTAATAGAATTACAGTCTAATTTTGACTAGTCTTATTGAATTACAGATATCTACAAGTTAAGTAAATTAAGAATAACCTGAATGTGATTGTTTTTGTCTTAATATCATTAGACAGCTCTTGAATTAGACTTGTGAAAACTCAACTGTAGTCTCTAAAATAAAAAAAAGGAAGTCAACTGAGACAAAGACATATTCTGATAACTGAATTCTGCATATCAGCCCATACAGATCTGATACAAGGAATGTTTTTTTTTCTTAATTTAAATCAGTGTAACCTGTCCATACTTCACTAACATGCTAACTAAACAATACTAAAAAACACAAAATAAAAATACTTAATACAAATAAATTTGCATTAGCCAGAACTGAATTATGACCAATAATGCTGGAAGAGCTCTTGAATTAGACTTGTGAAAACTCAACTGTAGTCTCTAAAATAAAAAAAAGGAAGTCAACTGAGACAAAGACATATTCTGATAACTGAATTCTGCATATCAGCCCATACAGATCTGATACAAGGAATGTTTTTTTTTCTTAATTTAAATCAGTGTAACCTGTCCATACTTCACTAACATGCTAACTAAACAATACTAAAAAACACAAAATAAAAATACTTAATACAAAAAAACACATACCTATGACAAATTGATGCATCCCTAGTCAAAACTGCATTCTAAATTATATATCTAAATTTGCATTAGCCAGAACTGAATTATGACCAATAATGCTGGAAGCTTTAGGATAAATTGGCTTGCCATGAAGTCACTAAAAGAATGTGTTGTCGTTTTGGTCAGATGTAAAAAGCACTTAAAATTTCAGAAACATAAATCAAAATATTTGACATGAATGAGGCCATCTGGGGTTCTTGCAAAAATCATTATTATGCAATGAACATCAAAAAGTTGTGTAAATCCACAATTCTAAGCCCATTTCGTTAAAGACTGGTGAGTCATTTTTAGCTTTAGCCATTATTGTTTCAAATTTGGAACTATTTCATTAAAACTTTCAACATTAAAGTATTGTCCTTCTTATGTTTCCAACATTTAATCAATGGATGGCTCCACACGCATCCACAGATGTCTGGCTAAACCCAAATATCCATTAACCCCAGGACCGCCCTGAATAGATCATGTCTTTCTCCGCATCGTTTTTGAGCTGATGTGCCGTTTCTTTCCTATGAGCATCAATGCACTAAATTGCATCCAAATGTCGCTAAAAAGAGGGCAGCGCAATAAGAGCAGTGTGGATGCAGTTAATAATCTGCCTGCCTCCGACTCATCAACGCTTAAACAAATCGCTTAACGATAAAACGAGCGTTTATATGATCATTATAACAACAAAGGCTGCTTGCACTGAATAGACGACGATATGAATCATTGCCTGCTACATTTCAGCAATGCCAACCGGAACAGGACGAAGTCACCGAACGAACAAAGAAGCGAACGAGCGCATCCTTTCTCACTTACAGGACGCCGCTACTGTCTCCGTGCCGATTGCATCAGTGTGGCATTTGGTGTCACTCGCATTAAAAACAGCGTTCTCGAATGAAACTCACCGACAACAAAGCGATGTCTGACAGCTGTCTGGTCTCTTCCGCTCTCGGGTAATTCTTGTCGAACTGACGTCTTTCAGCCTAAACCGTAAGCTCGACGAATACGCCGTTTTTGCACAGCGACTTCCTGTGATTTGCAACCTCGAGAACAGGTGCAATGGTGCAGCGAGCCCTTCCGATGCGCGCGCCAGCCAAGCTCCAATACGCAAGCACTGCGGTGATGGATTTTAAAGGTGAACGACGAGGATTTGACGGTTTCATCTCTCTCTCTTGCTCTCTTTCTCTCTCACACTCACACACACACACACACACACACACACACACGGTGCCCTGATCTCATTTCACACTCTCCTCTCTTGAAAGAGACGGTTTTTCTGCTTAGTGCAGATTTGGGGGGAACATATGCGCACTGAGCAAATGCAGCAGCATCGAATGCCACAACGGGTGCTTCTCCCTCATTGTAAAGGCCGAAATGTTGCACGAAATAAATAATTCGTTAGATTGGTGGGCAACTGCACATCTCATTCAATCGCCAAGATGGGTTTATTTAAGAGGAATGAACGCTTGTTTTGGTCAACAGATGTTAAAACAATCCAATAAGGATTCAACATAATCTGTAGTGCATTTCGTGTGAATTATGTTGTGCATTTATTTAACACATTTGGTTACTTGTGCACTGTCTGTTTCCTCTTTCTGATATGGGAAATTACTGAGACCCCATTCTCAGTACGCCGATTTAGCTTTCAGTTTCACTTCCAATTTTCTGATTTTTTATTAAAAATGTAGTACAGTTTATTGTTGCTATAGCATTTTAGATTTTCATGTATTTGCACAAAGCTTTCATTAAGCCATTCATGTCTTTATGGTCCAGCCTTATCACTGAGCACTCACATGAATAATTGTTTTTGGGCCTTGTTTTTCAGATTTCTTTCTTTAGACATGTGTCTCATTATGTGGTTTGTGTTTTGCTTGTATGTTTGTGGGTAAGAGGATATTTTGAACTTTCAGTGGAGACTAGCTATTGCATGTCTTTTTGTCATTTATGTTTACACTACATAAAACATTTAGGATGCATTATCAAACATCATAAATATTTCATAGTGTCAATATGATTGTGGCCTTTCTGCTTTCTCTCACTTATTTTCAGTTTCTGGTGCATCACCTGCTAATGTGTTTTTTACTGTTGTGAGTTCATGCATGAATAATTGGTAGCTGAAAATAGATGCAAATATGTTCTATATCTACAAATCTACATATAGATCATTGCTGATTGGGAACTAAAATGTAAATGTTGGCATATTATATGTTCAGGCTACAAATATTAAGTCTTTATTGGGCAGGAAGTCTGATTTAAGATGAAGGAACAACCAAGGGTCAAAACATAAGTATAATTTATGGACTGGCAAATATGCAAGCACAAACATAAATCAGCATTATAGGATAATATATTCATTTATGTATTTATTATTATTATTGCCGAAGACAAAGTAGCTCTTAGATGCACTTGGTCAACCTGACCTTTAACACAAACACACTTTTTTTATGCATTTATCTAAAAACCGTGCCTGATACGTTCCTTCGAACTAATTTGTAAAGTCCCTCTGCTGTCACTAATTTAATTTTACCCCTAAAACGCACCTTTGATCATCAAAATGACATATTTAAATGTTTTTTTTTTCCTGTGCAAATAATTTCTTCATGCCTTAAAATGACTTAAATGTAACTCTACCCTTACCTCATTTAGTGTATGCAGATTCATGAACATGCAAATTAGCCCCGCCTCCACTCAATCACACCTGCTCTACTTTCACCCGGTTATCTGAAGTTGTAAAATCACAATGGCAAGTAGCAATATTGCATTCATTCAGCCATGTATGTTTGAACCAGAAGCTGACTCCAAAGAAGAAGAGGAAGAGGGAATTATACAGTGTCCATGTAGCAGAATAGTAATGCATTTTATGTATCGCTCTGTATCAGCATCAGACATATAACAGTAATTGGTATCATTAGCCTTTGAGTTGACTATGTTATTAAACAGCTAATAATGTGTAGGTTTATTATGAAAATTGTACATTTGTAAATTACATAAACTGTACACTTGTAAATAACATATCTGTACATGCATTTAAAAATTATTTATGTTTTTCTCTATATTTCTACCCCTGTATTATATTGCATTATTTAATTTTACGTTTTTCTTATATTAGTGTTATATTTCATCTCTACTGTGTAATTCCTATGCATCATGCATCTGTATGTCGGTACTTTCTTCTACACTGGAAGCTCTTGACGTCAAGACAAATTCATTATGTGTGTAAACATACTTGGCAATAAAGCTCTTTCTGAATTTCTGACTTTTTTGTTCTCCATGTCCCCATAAAATTAGTACGCAGTCACTGCTCCCCCCCTGTATTTCATATATCCATATTTCAGCAAAACAGTTTTGATTTTTGAAAATTGCAATGACCCATTGGGACCTATGCAAAACACTTAAACCCTGTCAAGTTGCTATGATACACAGCTTGCTATGATGCCCAGTGTCTCTTACAGTTTTAAATTCCCTGTATGCAGTGAGGGATTAAACCGTGAAAAGGGTTTTAAAAGCTTTCAGTGTTGCGATCTCTGCTGCACATAATGGGAACACATATACAATCAATATATGTTATATAAATAATAGTTCGATTGAAGAACAGAAAGCAGAGTAAAGGCGAATGTGGGTTTTTTATTTCAGAGAAGCTGTATCTTATGTTTCTTGCCTGCTCTGACCGTCACCCTTATTATAGGGCTTACTTCCTGTTTGACAGGAAATGATGTGATGCCGGCTGACCTTTATGTATGCTGGGAGGATGAAACTGTCATGCCATGCTGCCTGGCCTGATAGAACAAGGTGAACGTCCGTTTAGTTCAATGTGTAGTTTCTCTCTACACTGTTTCCTCCGCACTCATGTTTTGTAAGTGATTTGTATATTTTAACATACGCTCTCATACAAAGCTAAATAATTTTTCCTCATTTTTGTCAATAAAATTGGAACAATGCATGTGTATACGTTGTAGATTGTATAAAAAAAAGCAAATGCTAGACCAAGGCCCTGTTTACACTATTAACATGTGAGATACAATCAGAAGTGGTCAACCAAGACAGATTGCAGTTATCACACACGTCTCAAATGAAACTCCTGTGATCATTAGGGACTGGATTTAGTGTCCCTGAGATCTTGAATACAGTTCTCTTAATAAGAGAGATCTTCCACGAGACAAGTGAATTTGCAAATTTACATAAATTATTTTGTTCAAAAGTTCAAATATTCTTGGTTCTTCTTATCGTGTTTTACTTCCTCCTGCATAACGTCATGTCAGTCTGTCACTGCAAGTTGATATCATACTGAAGATGCTCTGTGAATTATTTAGCACATATTGATATTTATAAACAACTGATATGATGAGTAAAGGTGAGTAAAATAAAATCAATATTTACAGCAGTGCTTTTGATGGATGATAATTTCACTTCAAGCGTTAGCCAAAAATGTCAAAAGAGAATAGCTTCACCACTTAAAACATTACAACATCCTGAGTATTAAAATCTTTGTAGCTGGATTATGGAATCCAACTTTGTCTTTATGTAAACAAATTATTATGGAATTAATACACTCTAAAAGAATATACTTAAGTGTGAACTGAATGTAATGTTTTCGGACACTTAAATGCAAGTTGATTGCAATTAAATGAAAATATATCATAGTTTAAATTTATTTACTTTTAAGTTCAGCTTATTGCATTTGACATAAGTTTAAACTATAACACGTTTTCATTTAATTGCAATCAACTTGCATTTAAATGTCCGAAAACATTGCATCTTAAATTTAATTTCATAATTACTTCTATTGTATTTTAAATATGATTAAATTTCTGCCGACTGTTCTGATTTATGGCACACTAAAATTTCTACAGAAACTTATATGTCACGCATTTAAAATGTAATTGTAATTACACATTTGTAATGATGAAGAAACAATATAGTACACAAAAAATTAACTTCAAATGTGATATTGAATAACACATAGTTAAAATGATCAAGTACTTCACATGTGCTTTAGTATGTTAGTCAACACATCAAAATAAGTGTAAAACACAACAAAAGATTAAGATTATTAAACCATAATTGGTTATAATGCACGTTAAAGTACAACCTTTAATTTGACATTATTGGAAAGTGTGTACTTAAGTGTCTTAGGAAACAAAGTAATATTATACTACCTGCAAGTAGTTTTTAGTATCCACTAAAATTGGCACCCTTGGTATTTACTTTTAAGTTCAGCTTATTGCATTTGACATAAGTTTAAACTATAACACGTTTTCATTTAATTGCAATCAACTTGCATTTAAATGTCCGAAAACATTGCATCTTAAATTTAATTTCATAATTACTTCTATTGTATTTTAAATATGATTAAATTTCTGCCGACTGTTCTGATTTATGGCACACTAAAATTTCTACAGAAACTTATATGTCACGCATTTAAAATGTAATTGTAATTACACATTTGTAATGATGAAGAAAAAATATAGTACACAAAAAATTAACTTCAAATGTGATATTGAATAACTGTCACGCCCCTGGACTCTTTGTGTTGTGTTTTCCCTCCCCAGGTGTGACGTGTTCCCTTTAATTAGTCATTCCTTGCACAATAATTAAGAAGTTCCAATCAACTAAAGATGTTACAAATCTGCCTGGAAGAGGACGTGTGTCTATCTCGTCCTAATGCACGGTGAGGAGGAGAGTTTGAGTGGCCAAAGACTCTCCAAGGACCACAGCTGGAGAACCGCAGAGATTAGTTGAGTCTTGGGGTCAGAAAGCTTAAAAAAAAATATCAAACAGCTCCTACATCACCACATGTTGTTCGGGAAGGTTTCAAGAAAAATCCTCCTCGCTCATCCAGAAACAAACTCCAGCAAATTCAGTTGTCAGACATTACTGGAACTTCAAACGGGACTGGCTTCTATGGTCAGATGAAGAAAAAAAATATTTTTCTGGCAGCAAACCCACCAGGTTTGGTGCAAACAGGGATAAAAAGTACCCCATGGCCACGGTTAAATATACTGCTGGATCTTTAATGTTGTGGGCCTATTGTTCTAGAGGTCCTGGACATCTTGTTCAGATATTGGCATCATGGATCCATATCAAATACCAACAGATAAAAAATCCGAACCTGGCATTATAGGAGAAAACTCAGAGCCGTTATATTGGGAAAAGGAAGTTGCAATAAATGGGTGCCAATAATTGTGGCTACCGTGAACTAGAGAACTTTCCATTGTTTTACTTCAATG